CTCTCTCTCTCTCTCCAGTGAGCAAGTGAATAGTGTTTTGAGAAAGGGAGTTTATATATTTAGGTTTTTGGTAATAGTTGAAATTGACGAAGGGCATTTATGTAATTTTGCCCCTCAATTTTCAACTTTCCGTTTAAGCTGAAATTGAAAAGCAGCTCCTCCCCCACTCAAATAAAAAGTTATATATATATATATATATATATATAATATAATATAATATAATATAAACCTCGTTGCGGGCCATAAAACTGGACTCAGAAATCTTAGACCGGAGTCTGTATAAATCTGAAATAGCAATGTTTGGGCCGAAAGCTAAATGAGGCTAAAAGGTTTGGGCCGAAAATGCTGAAGAAGATATCCAGTATAATAATAATAACAACTCCAAGATAATCAAGGCTAACAAGCCTTTATGGACCAATGCAAATCCTGTTGAGACTCAAATTGAATTGAAAAAAATCAATGACTCTTAATTACTTAAAACTGGAACTTATTCATTCTTAAAAGAAACTAAATCAAATTAAATGGTTTGGATTAGTCTAGTTCAATTTGCCTGAGTCTAATTTTTTTTTATACACTAGTGCCCCCAAGGTGATACAATACAATTTTGTGATGAAAACGACCACTTGGCACTATCTCATAATGCCACTTGGCTTATTTTGATAGAATTAAACCTTAGTTAATTTGGTCACATTAAAATAATAATAATATTGAGAAAAATTGAAGGGTAAAGAGGCCGAATTAAGTGATAAAGCCTTATTTTTAGCCTTCCATCAACTCTTAAAATGTCTTTCATAATTTAATTGTTTTTTTTTTTTTTTGACATCCTCATTATTAATATATTTTGGGTAGGGCTCACTCTCTCTATTGTAATTGCACTCATACTGTCTTTTGTATCAGTATTTGACAAAATAAAAAATAAAATTCAATTTTGAGGTCTCTAATGACTAGTTAAACTTTGTGTGATATTTTAGCATTGTTAAAATTACATTAATACTGTGTTTGGTTGGGGGATTTGGAAAGAAAAATAGAAAAGGTAGGTGAAATGTGAATAAATCATGCATATATTTCACATAGTTTCACACACCTTTTCCCTTTCTCTTTCTAAATCCCTCTCCAAATCCTCCAACCAAACACACCATAAATTTTTTCTTATGTCAACCAAAATAGGGTTCCGTTTGTTCCATAAATAAAATCAGTTCATTTTTTTTACATTAGCTAATTCCAATCTTTTCAAATTATAATTAATTGATTCAACATTTATGTAATGAGTTTATCAGGTAAATAAGTTTAAAAAGAAGTGAGCAATCTTAAATGTTCATAATTTTTTTAGTTTTTCATTTTAAAGGGCTATTGCATATCACATGGTTTTTTCACTGTTAGGGTATATAGCAAAATATTATTTGCCAACATTAATTTTTTATAATTTATTTCAAACAACAAACCATATAATACTATAAATAGCAAAAGTTGGAACTTGAAATGAAGATTTTGCGTCTGGTACTTGAGCAGCACACCGTATGTCTGCTTTCCTTATACATATATATATAAATATATTCCGTGATGCAAAATGGTAATGAAAATTCTAATGTATATATATGAAAAATCTAGAAATTCCTTAAATGTTGATTTGTGATTATGTATCAATTTTAAGTAGTATATAACAATTTCAATCAAACAATCAAGACAAATCGACACAACGATTTTACGTGGACCTCCAATTGTGATAAAAAAATCACAATTGGACACCTCCAATTGTGATAAAAAAATCACGGGCAACAGCCACAAAACAATTTACTAAGAAGATATAAAGGAATTACACAGGTATACTCTCAATTACCTAGCGAATCCACGCCCGAATTGAATCAACCTCTATGTGCCTCTTCCAACCCCGTCTTCACCTCGGAATTGTCTTGACGATGAGCCACTTCAAAATCCACCAAAGCTTCAGGCTCGAATTCTTCAGAATCCACCGAAGAACAACTCTCTCTTTTGTGTAGAACAAACAAATAATCCTTTGATGTATACTCTTTAAACCATGAGTTGAATACTCAATCAAAACATCAAACAAAACTAGCAAAATATCCCCAGATATAAACCCTAGAACCCAAGAAGAAGATCTGGAGAAGTAATCCTAGATATGGACTGAAACACGTATTTATAGAAAATTGTCCCGCGATCTCCGCTCGAGCGTCAGATTGGCCGCTCGAGCGGACCTACGCTCGAGCGCGGAAAGTTTTGCCCGAGCGGGAAAAAACAACATCCAGTATTTTTGCAGGCGAATAAACTTCTGAAACCATGGATTCTCCGCTCGAGCGGGGGAATGTCCGCTCGAGGGAACAGGCAACTTCGAATGCACTTTTGCATTTTGCTTCGGGGGCGCTGCCCCTCGATCCCGCCGTGGCGCTACCCCGGACCCACCAAGGGGCACTTGCCCCCTGGACCCCCGCGAGCTGACCGGGCAGCTCGATCTCCATCATAATCAGTGAAGTGACAATCTTTAAAGCATTAACATCACAAACTTCTCTACAAGGCACAATTCGGGTTGGATTCACATCTAAACACTCATAACCTCACTAAAATAAAAAGTGCGAAAATAAGTACAACTGAAAGAAGTTTTGTCAAACGGGATTGTCAAGAATAAAAACTTAACAAAATATTTTTATTTTTACAATCAAACCCATAAATTATCCAATTCATAAATCAACCTATTCCAAAATGACTCAATTCCCAGTTTTGTTGGCAACCAAACAGACAATAGTGTCTTTCAACATCATAGGCAACACAATATCCGTGTAAATTGTAATTAACCATAAATTTTTGTTGACAAAGAGAAATGTGGACACTAACACCAGGGTGTTTTGGGAAGTTAGTTAAAAGCTAAGTTTTTGGATACGAATCTCACCAATCACTAATTATTAGTTTTACAAAGATAGTGAGTTCTACTAAAATTTATGGCTCTGTTGATAAGATGCTAAATAATGATATACAAATAAGATATTTATGCAAAAATTTTATACATAATGGCCTCATTTGGAAAGTTAGCTATTTTAGTAAGCTATTCTAATTTTTAGCTATTTTAATAGGTTAAAATTTTTGTATTTAGGAAGATATGGTTGGATTTTTTTTGTAGTTAGATATGATGTTTGTGAGAGAAAAAGTGAAATGCTTATGAATTTGATGTGTCATTTTATCTTATTAACTATTTTATTATATTTTATCTTTTTGTGGATTTTAATCTCTCTCTCTCTCACACACACACACAAAAAAAACAAAACTTGCCAGGTAGGGCCAATGATATGATTGTTTTAACATGATTTTGAATGAAATTTTTGTAATATCTATATATATAGATATAGATATAGATATAGATATATATGTTTGCAAATTATTTTTCTAAAATTATTGGTAAGTAATAGTATCCATATTGACAAATTGTCCCATATCGGCTATATACGGGAGCATCTATTTACACACACACTTCTCTCTATACACATCCTCCACACACAACTCTCAAACACACCCTCTCATTAAATGTGTGAGAAAAGAGGATATAGTGTGTGCAAATAGAAGCTCCCGCTATATACATTGCATTACAGAATGCAGACTTGGTTAATTACATATTAACCCTTATGTTGACATAAGTCATAAACAAGTCAACACACATCAAGGGCACTATCGTCATTAAAAATTTAGCTATTGTTATGTTCACATTGTTGCCTACTGCCTAGCACGGCATAAAATAAAATAATTCTAATCATCCTTGTTTTAAAATAATTTTTAATTCATATTTTTTAATTCATATTTTTTATAATATTTTAATTAAATTTTTTATTTAATTTTTAGATCTATTTAATCTTAATATATTAAAAAGTAAAATAAAAATTATACAAATTTTTTTAAAGAAAATTCATCAAATACAACAAAATATGAAAATGTATTAATTTTTTGTATTTTTTTTTATATTTTTTGTATTTGGTAAATTTTTTAAGTTTTTTTTCACAAATATTATAATTTTTAAGCATATTTAGATTAGATGTAACTAAAAAATAAAATAAAAAATGCGCAAAATATTTTTAAAAATTACTAAAAATAACAAAAAAAATACGAAAAACATATAATTTCATTTTTTGAAAAATGAATCAATTTTCTAGAACCAAACATAGTGAATATTTTGATAAATGAAAAATTACAAAATACATTTATAAATTTTTTTATAATATGATTGATTTAAAATACCACATATATAATACAATAATGCACATAAAACCAATTATAGAGACACACATGTCTCACAATGAATGAGACCCACATAATGTAAGGATTCATGTGTGGGACTGACTCTTTATGTCTCATTTTGTATTTGATTTCTATATTCTTAATATTATTGTACATAATATTTTGGGTAAATTGTGACAGCAGTCTTTATACTTTAATGCTTGTGTTATTTGAGTTTATATAATTTCAATTTACTCAATTTTGAGCCTAAATTTATTATTTTGTTTTAATTTGGTTCAATTAATTACAACTCTTAACATTTTTTTATATAAAAAATATGCATATAAATAGCACGTATCATATTTTTTTAGAGTAAAATTATAAATTTACTAAACTCAGTGAGTTAAATTCAACCAATTCAATAATTATTTTTTGTAAAAAATACTGACGAAATTATTAATCAAACTAAATTAATATAAAATTTAAAATTGAGTTAATTGAAAGTGAGAGTAGAACTTAGAGGCCACAGCTATGATTTGCGCTAATACCATATAATATTTTGAGAATTCTGTATAATTATCTTAACACCACAAACAATAGTGAAAATTACAGTGATTCCTATGCACATTACACAAAACCATGATAAATTCTCTTTAAAATCTACCCCCCTCTCGCTCTCTCTGTCTCTCTCTACATACATATCTCTTCTAACAATCCTTGATACAATTCATACTCCAAAACCCATATGCAAAATCTGACCCACTCACCAGAAACCACCCCAAATAATGACCTCTGTCTGCATATCAACCTGTGTCAACGATGCCAGAGTCCCTAGCAAAGCCACCTACATGAACCTGGACAAGTGGCCGGAATCTGACGCCGAGTCAGTGAAAACGGCGCCCGGAGGAGGAGAAGGGCGGCACCACCGTCCCACGGTGGTGGAGAGTATCTCATGTAGGCAGCTGTACTTGAAGAGCTACACATTTTCCAGGAAAGAGACTGTGCCTGAGAGGACCAAGAAGTGCTTGGATCGAGCCGGAGAGAGGGTGGTGGCTCGTGGCGGTGAGAGGAGGAGGAGGAGGAAGAGGAAGGCGGTTCGGGGTCAGGGAAGAAAGAGGAGTGTGGTGGTGGTGGTGGTGAGGAGAGTGAAGGAGTTATCGTGCGCCGCTTTGTGTGCTATCTTCCACAAGCTGCTATATTGCACTGCTAGTGTGGATGTTGTGGACCATAGAGAACAGCGAGTGCAGTTGTAGTTGTTGTTTTAAGTTTCATAGTATTTTCCAAAATAAAAAATTGGTATAAAAATGTAATAAATGTAGGCTTGTTGTTATATTTATGTTAAGAAATGGGTATTTGTTTTGTTTTTGCTTTTGTTATGTGTGAGGGTGGAGAGAGTTAGAGACAAATGTGGCCAAATGGGTCTTTGTATATCTGCATATGTCTTGGTTTAGCAAAACCTGTGTTACTTCTTGTGTCTTTTCATTCTTGTTTCCTTTTGGTTGGAATCTCTCTAAGAGTATTGGCTGCACCTGCATATGATTGGTTGGTTCTTCTCGTACCAATCTAATTGGGATTGATAGTTTTTATTATGATACTAAATTGATGTATGCTCTCTATTTTGCATTGTACCTTTGGCTTACTCGTTTACTGTGCGGAGAAAAATCTACCACAATTATTTGAATGGATGAATACAAATTCCAGTAAACTCTATACTTCAATTGATTGTCCATCGTTGAGAGCTTTGTGCAATTACTTGCCCATACACCCAAGACGGACCATACCCATTCTCTTGCTTCTTTCCATGAAGTAGTAAGCATTATCCCACTCTTCTTGAACTGACCATTGACCTTATCCACCCTATGCTCAAGATTTGTCCATCCAAACCCCATGCTTGACTAGACAATTGACCAAACGGCTATATGGTTACTTGACTGCACATGTAGCTTGGCCGAGCAACGTAGTCGTGTAAAAATGAGTTGTAAATCAATTCTCCAACATGATAAATGGTTTGCAAAAATGAGACTTGTTACCAATATAGTGTTGGTCAAAGTGTTTTAGATGCTTTAGTAGAAAGGCTGAGAAAGAATGGAGTAAGAGAAGAAAAGTGTTAGCTTACCTTCTCCTTCTATTGTAATATGCATGATTTGGGGGATTTGCAAGTGTGATTTGTGGGATGTAAAGTTAACCCTAGGACTAAGTATGCCTCATGTCGAGAGCTAACTTGAGCGCTATCATATTGAGTGTGAATTTGTTTACATAATGTGAACAAAATATACTCACTCATTAGTCAATTTTATACTATTTCTGAGACCTATCCCGCTAATTCAACTAATAAGACAATATGTTTTGTTCACACTATGTGACAAATTTATATTCTAAAATACTAAGCACTTTTTTTTAATTAATTAATTTAATTTTTTTGTCCTTTTGCATTTCTTATCAAATAAATTGAAGAACATTTTCATAAACTCAACTAGTAACCAATTGATGGGAAAGATAATACATTCTTTGCATTTTATGCAAGCAAAATGTTTCTCCATTTTCAAATTGTTACTAAAACTAATGTGAATTTACTGCAGTACAGAGGTCTCTCTCTTTCTCTCTGGAGAGCATGGTGATTGTGGCAAACATTTCATGGGCTGTCATGGAAGGTAGAGAGAGCAGGTACATTGAGAAGTTTGCCAATTGCCACAGTGGGAGGAAAGAGAAGGAACAACCCAAGTGATGATTACTGGTGAGCGGAGGAAAGAGAAGGAACAACCCAAGTGATGATTACTGGTGAGCATTTGGCAACGTACTAAAAAATTATGTTTTGCTAAAATAATTAAAATGTTAAAATATTATTAATTTGTTTGCCATCCGTTGTTAATTGTTTATATTACTTTTTAAATGTATTAATTAAAATAAAACAGTTAAAAAAGTGAATTTATTTACTTCCGCAATTAAAGGAGGCATAATAATTGATCATATGAACATTGGGATTCTCACCTATGCTTGACTACTGTAAAAAGGGTTTAGGTGACCTGATCCTATCAGTGTCTCAACTAATTTATCCAGGTTAAATTCTCTCTTTGACTAATCTCCCCTATTACAGTTGTTTATATACGGTCCTGCAATGAAAATTATTATATTATATAATTGGAATAATATGTTTGGTTTGGCATCCCTTAAGCCTGTGTTTGGCAAGGGCTTTTTCAGGTTTTTTTGGCTATTTTAGTCACAAAAAACAAAATAGGCTATTTTAGCCATAACAAACAAAACATCACATCCAACCTATAATCATTACATTTTTCTCTCACAAAAAAAGTCAAAAAAGCCAAAAAGTCAAAAAGTCCTTCCCAAACCAAGCTTTTTAGCCCAGGCTAAAATAGCCAAAAAAGCCAAAAAGCCAAAAAGCCAACCCACTTCCCAAACGGAGGCTTCAGGGAAGGTAGAGAGAGAAGGTACATTGAGAAGTTTGCCAATTGCCATAGAGGGAGGACAGAGAAGGAACAACCCAAGTGATGATTACTGGTGAGCATTTGGCAACATACTAAAAAATTATGTTTTGCTAAAATAATTAAAATGTTAAAATATTATTAATTTGTTTGTCATCCGTTATTAATTGTTTATATTACTTTTTAAATGTATTAATTAAAATAAAACAGTTAAAAAAGTGAATTTATTTACTTCCGCAATTAAAGGAGACATAATAATTGATCATATGAACATTGGGATTCTCACCTTTGCTTGACTACTGTAAAAAGGGTTTAGGTGACCTGATCCTATCAGTGTCTCAACTAATTTATCCAGGTTAAATTCTCTCTTTGACTAATCTCCCCTATTACAGTTGTTTATATACGGTCCTGCAATGAAAATTATTATATTATATAATTGGAATAATATGTTTGGTTTGGCATTTCTTAAAAAAAAGTTAAAAAGTGAAAAAATCACTATTCTATTTAAATTATATCATTTTTTTACAGTATCATTTCAAATTTAACTCATATTTCATAAAAAATCAAAAGTACACTTATTTAAAGTATCCCAAACAACCCCTGGATAACAATGAGGCACAAATTTACAAAGGGTCGAATTTTCCTCCGGTCTCAAATTGAACTAGAGAGTATTATTGGGCTCATGAGAGTTCACTAAAAGTTCCGTTTTGATAATTCAAACTATTTAATGTGTAAAACTCGTCGAGTAGTATATTTCCTTGTAAAAATTCACGTTGATCGGATATCGATAGTTACGTGATTAAATCAATTTTGTATCAAAAAAATAAACGGTTGACAGAAATCTGATCCGATGAAATAGCTATCAATATCCGATCAACGTAATATTTTACAAGCTTATAAGCTTCATTTGGGAAGTAGGTTGGTTTTTGGATTTTTTGGTTTTTTTGGCTATTTTAGCATGAAGCTAAAAAGCCTGAAGCTAAAAAGCCTGATTTAGCCTCCGTTTGGGAAATGAGTTGGCTTTTTGAATTTTTGACTTTTTGGTTATTTTAGCCTGGGCCTAAAAAGCCTGGTTTGGAAGGGCTTTTTGGCTTTTTGACTTTTTTGACTTTTTTTGTGAGAGAGGAGTGTAATGATTATAGGTTAGATTTGATGTTTTGTTTTTTGTGGCTAAAATAGCTTATTTTGTTTTTTGTGACTATTTTAGCCCCTAACCCACCAAAACCAACTTCCCAAAGGGTTTTTGACTTTTTTGTAAGATGAAGAATGTAATGATTATGGGTTGAATGTACTGTTTTGTCTTATCCTATTTTGTTTTTTGTGACTATTTTAGCCAAAAAAGCTCCAAACCTCTCTTCCCAAACGGAGCTATAGTACTCAATAAATTCTATACATTGAATGGTTTGGATTACTGAAACGGGATCCGTGGTGGACCCCTATAGGCCCAACAATATCCTTAAGTCCGATCTGGGACCGGAGGGAAGCCAATCCCATTTAGAAAATGGTGAAAAATAATTGAACTACAAGTTTTCACACTGTTGAATAAAAGAAAGAAAACAAATAAAATAAATTTTGACATTAAAAACTTGCACTTTCATCTATTTGTAAATAATTTTGATACTGACCTGTTATTTCCAGACATAATTTGAGTTGTAATGTGATAGGCAGTTGGGATTGGCTGAATTGATTTTTTGTTAGCTAAAACGTTAGTTTATCGGATAAAAGTAATTTTATAAAAATAGTTAATGTGAAGGCTTTGTTTGATTTACATTTTTAGAAATTATTTTTGAGAGAATTTTGTTTGTTTTTATTGAATTTTTTTATATTTTAATATTTTTTTTTAACATTTTAGATATATCAACATTAAAATGTATCTAAAAAGTTTTTTTAAAAATTAACTAAAATATTAAAAAAATACTAAAAACAAACAAAAATCCAAACGAAAAAACGAAAATGCACACATATTTTGAATTTTTAAATATTTTAGCCAATTGGTTTTACTTTTTATATCCATCTTGATTAGGTACATTTAAAAAGTATTAAAAATAATAATAATTAGTAAAATATTTTTAAAAAATCACTAAAATAAACTCTTCCAAAAACAGTTTTTGAAAAATCAAATTTACATAATTTGGTTGGCACATTAGCCTTGTTTGGTACAACTCATAATACTACTGGCAATTTATTTATTTATTTTAAGAGTTTATGTCAAAAGGTGTAGCAGAACTACTTCTACAATTGATGAGATATAAATAATTTAAATAAATTGAAGAAAGAAAAAAAAAAAAGTTTTTAGTAGAATTGTTTTAACATCCTCTATTTGATTTAAACTTAAAAAAAAACTGCACTAAGTGCTTGTTTGACATGCACTAAAAAGTATATTTTTTTTTGCATACACACTTATTTGAGGCACGTCAATCAACATCTATCAATATCTTCTCTTTAGTTTTTTAATCACTTTCTCTACTTTTCTACATATTTTTTATTCATTTATAAAAAAAAATCAAAAAAGTACACTTATTTATAACATCACAAACCACCCCTTATGTGCTCATTCTTAACTTTTTTTTACTTCTCTAATAACTGTTTAGAATGTAAACTTTTAGGTAAACATGAATTTGCCAAACAGGTTGAGATTTTTTTAACAGAATAATTTTTTTACCCAATAAATTGGCTTTTGAGTCACAACCAAACAAAATCTTAAATTGTAGATTACAATTAATCAATTACCCAGTTGTATCTCATTACTTTCTCAACCTCATGCCATAAAATTTACAAAAAATAATAGCAATAATAATAATCACAATTAACAAAGC